CCGCAAGCACATCTTAGCCTCGATGTTCACGTTTGTTATTTGACAAATAAAGTGTTGGCCACACGTCTGATAAGCAGAGAATACTGACTCGCTTTTTTAGGTGTGGGGGGGCGGGGGGGCGTGGAATGCTAATTATCTCTTTAAGAATCCGTTCATTAAGACACCCAAGGGGACGAGCAACTGTGCAACGATAACCACAGGTGCACGCACTCAACGCTGTCACAATTACAACAAACAATGGCGCTTACATGACCTTATGCAGTTGCGAGCGCCGTAAAACCTTCTACTTAAAAAAACCCAACAAAAAACCAACAATGAAGGACATTATGGGGGCTCTCGTGGTCTAGAGGTTAAGGTGTTCGCCTCTCATTCAATAGGTCCCGGGTTCGAACCCGGTTAGTGACGGAACATTTTCTTATGTAAAATTTTCTGCTTTACACATTGTTTCCTGCTCTCTAACAATGTTCTGTCGTCTGCTTTCGTCTTCACTTTCTGATCCACCCCCTCACCTCCTTTGCCCCCCTCCTCTGGGTTCCTGACTCTTTCTGCTGTCTTTCTACTGCTACTCCTTGGCTCCTTCTTACTGCTGTCTTTCAGCCACACGCCTAAATCTTATGGTAGGTAAGATCTACATCTAGCCTTAACGGATAAGCGTGAAAAATCTCGGAGGTCCTGTGTGAAAGTTGCGCGCGTTAAAGATCCCTTGGTGGTCCAAATTCGATAAGAGTAGGCTTCGCAACATTCAAAATTTCCTACCTACTGAAAATGTTTAATGTGTCCTGCGCGTTCATATGACCTTATGCAGTTGCGAGCACTGTAAAACACTTACCAAAAAAAAAAAAAGTAACAAAGAGGGGTTTTGTCTTCCTAATAAAGCACAAGTCAACTGTGTCAGAAAATCTTTATTTTATTTTTCTGCGCAAACGCAAAGATTGCTTGATTTCACATCTTTTTAGTGAAGCAATGACAATTAGCTGGTTTTGTGGGAATTGGTTTACTAGCACACAAAAAATGGCGCCAACCCCTCTCACCTTTATAAAACATGATTTTATAAACTCCAGCTCTCACCTTTATAAAACATGGTATTCTAAACTCCAGCTATTACGAGTACCTATCTAGAGATGCTTCTTCTATGTAGCATGTCTTCACACCCAGCTGATGATGGAGACAATCGGCCTTCCCACACTCAATTAATGGACCCTAATGAAGAGGGGTGAGGAAGCATGGAGCACTCCGTCTTCCTAAAACCCCAGTTCTACATTCAGGTGATTCAAGTAAGTATGTCTTCACTCGGTGCAGAGCCATCTTTACATTTTCCATGAATGACAACCTTTAATACTCAACGAGTCCTGTCTCCGCAACACCAAATTGGTCGTTTTTAAGCACAAGGGGGCTATCCCGAAAAGTGCTGTTTTGAGAAAATCGAAGGTAAAGTTTTTGCCCCTTGTTCAGCTTCATTAAAAAACAAGGAGAGTTTTCTTCTATATCCAAACAAATATGCACACTAGTGAAACCCAACCTCTCCTATAGGTAGGGCAGTGCCCGCTTTTGGTGTTGGTTAAGATTTCTGGAAATCCCCGAAATCTGGGTTAGCCTGCTTGTCCTTAAAAGCAACCAATTTCGCTTTCAGTTCACAGAGGTTCAGAATCTCTCTCTTCTTTTCTTGGCGTTCTCTGACACATTTTCAAAGATCATTTCTTTATGTTACGGTTGTACGTTGTACTGTCTTGTAAAGCGCACAGAGCCTGTGTACTTTAATCGGGGTTGAGCGCTATATAAATGTCATTTTTTGTTATTATTATTATTATTATATGAGCGCTATATAAATGTCATTTTTTGTTATTATTATTATTATTATTATTATTATTATTATTATTATTATTATCATTATTAAGATGATGATGATGATGATGATGATGAAAAAAGAAGCCTCCATAAAATCCCCCCCCCCAACCCCCCCACAAAACAACTCCACCCTATTCTGGACCGCTGTGCCCCTCCATGAGAACATAATAGCAGTTAATTTTTTTTTAAACTTTGCTTTTTGTCTATTGGCCAATTGTTTTTTTTTGCAAGCATTTCAACTCTTAATTTCTCGGAAGTCGAGACTTGTTGCAAACGCCATCTTTGAGCGAGTCAGAAGCCATACGGACATGCATCTGAGAAGGTATTTTTGCTGCGTGAACGATGTTGGGAAGAAAGCAAGGGGTGAAGACTTTGAAAGGTAAGGAGAACATTGTGATGAATATTTTAAAAACTGAAGAGAGCTAATGATGAGCATGTTAAAAAGAGATGAGAGAGCCAATGGTGAGGATGATAATAATAATAATAATAATAATAATAATAATAATAATAATAATAATAATAGTGATAATAATAATAATAATAATAATAATAATAATAATAATAATAATAATAATAATAATAACAATAATAACAATAATAATAATAATAATAAATAGCATTTGTATAGCGCATATCCCCACTTGAAAGCAAGCTCTATGCGCTTAATACTATATTATTACCCGAGCAGACCATAGAACACTCCGAAACATTCTCAGTTTCCGGGGAAGCATACAGTGCAAGCAGCTGGTTAAACGCTCAAGTAAATACTAACAAAGTGACAAGATCATTCACTGTCTATAAAAGCTGGGTACCCATTTCTACCTGGGTGAAGTGGGGAAAATTCGTGTAAAGTGCCTTTCCCAATGACACAGAGTCGGGCCCGCGGCTCGAACCCCCGAACCCGCAACCTCAGGATTACGAGTCCGGTAGCCTAACCTGATCAAGTTAAAAGGAGAAGAGCTCAGGCTGAATATGTCAAAATGTAAAGGGAGAATGGTAAAATTCGATAAAAAAAATAAGGAAAAGAGTTGATGGAGAGTGGAGAGCATTGTTACAATAAAACATGCAGTACGCTGCCCCTATGACTTTGGTGTAAGGGGGGGGGGGTGGTGGAAAAGAATAATTAAAAACAAACAAACAGACAAAAGAACCACTGTACATTCACAATCTCTATAATGACAAAACAACTAATGAGAGTTTTTTAAAGATTTTTTTTTCCATTCCGTTTTGAACTTTTTTCTTTTTTCTTTTAACATTTTCTCACCCCTCCATATTCCTCCACTTTGTCTTCTTCTACCTCTTTTATCCCCCCCCCCCCTCTTCACCAACTGCTTTGTCCTCCTCCGAATGATCTATTTCTTTTAAGCAGAACTTTAGCAAAATAACAACTGGTTGTGGGTGGTTGGCGGGTGCTCTGGTGTGGTTTGCTTCTTTTTTCCTATCAAACATCTATCGTCCTTATCTCCCCTCCTACCTTTTTATGTCTGTAACTCTCTTGTAACACCTCTAATCTTCTGGCGCTCATATGACCTGATGCCGTAAAATCTCTACTCAAACTAAAATATAACTGGTTGGGAGTGACCTTGCAACACGACCTGGGAGGTACAAGGGAGCTAACAACGGCGTTGGCCTCCGTTTCTGAACTTTTGATTGTCTATGTAAGGACGACATTCATTTTGGTCAGGTGAGTTTTTTAACCACCCTCGTAGGTAGCAGGGAATAAAAAAAAGGGGTTGAGACTTAGTAGATTTTTCAAATTTAATCATCATCATCATCATCATCATCATCATCATCATCATCATCATCATCATCATCATCATCATCATCATCCTCCTCCTTCTCCTCCTCCTCCTCTTCCTCCTCCTCCTCCTCCTCCTCCTCCTCCTCCTCCTCCTCCTCCTCCTCATCATCATCATCATCGTCATAATCATCGTGTCAAAAAAGAAACATTTAAAGCATAATTTATGCATGAAAGATCTCGCAGGGTAGGCGAAGATTCAATTTTAGAATTTCATGTACACAAAAAATTCTCTGAAATATTAAAACATATTTTTTTCTTCTTTTTTTATCGTTTCTTTTTGAGTAGGATGCTGTCGCCCTCCGACTCCTCTCTTCTTGCTACTTTTTTAAGTTTTAGTAAAAGTTTTACGGCACTTTCAACACAATAAAGTCATATAAGTGCCGAAGATTAGAGGTGTTACAAGAGAGTAACAAACACAAAAAAGAAGGAGAGGAGATCGGGACACATACACACACATAAAAATATATACACACATACACACATATACAGACATGCACGCATATACACACATACACACATACACACATACGCGCGCACACATATACACACATACGCGCACACACATATACACACATACACACACTTAAAAATATATACACGCATACACACACATACACACATACACACATACATACCTATACACACAAACACACAATTTCCTACCAACTGAAAAATGTGTCGCGCTCGATCACAATATGACCTTATGCAGTAGCGAGCGCCCTTAAACACTTACCACCCCCCAAAAAAACAACAACAAACAAACAAAACAAAACAACAACAAACAAACAAAAAACCCAAATACCAACAAAACAACACACACACACACACACACACACACACACACACACACACACACACACACACACACACACACACACACACACACACACATACACATACACGCCCAGTCCTCTCTCTGTCTCTTCAACGTACATCAGTCACACACAAAAAGCATAACCTCACATACAAAAACGATTCTTCTGCATCCTATTGGTCTTAGACATTGTTCTCCTTATCCCTATCCGTACGTCGTGTTTTACTATCGTATCCATACGACGCGGGGAACTCTGTGCCACCACTTATCCCTATCCGTACGTCGTGTTTTACTATCGTATCCATACGGCGCGGGGAACTCTGTGCCACCACTTAACCCTATCCGTACGTCGTGGGGAACTCTCTGCCACCACTTAACCCTATCCGTACGTCGTGTTTTACTATCGTATCCATACGACGTGGGGAACTCTGTGCCACCACTTAACCCTATCTGTACGTCGTGTTTTACTATCGTATCCATACGACGCGGGGAACTCTGTGCCACCACTTATCCCTATCCGTACGTCGTGTTTTACTATCGTATCCATACGACGTGGGGAACTCTGTGCCACCACTTAACCCTATCTGTACGTCGTGTTTTACTATCGTATCCATACGACGCGGGGAACTCTGTGCCACCACTTATCCCTATCCGTACGTCGTGTTTTACTATCGTATCCATACGACGCGGGGAACTCTGTGCCACCACTTAACCCTATCCGTACGTCGTGGGGAACTCTCTGCCACCACTTAACCCTATCCGTACGTCGTGTTTTACTATCGTATCCATACGGCGTGGGGAACTCTGTGCCACCACTGTCCAAAGAGGAAATTTACTCGTTAATCCGATCTGTACGCTTTGCATAGCAGTCTGTCAGAATGATTCTTCTTAGAAATACTCAAAGTCTCAAAGAGATTTTCGGACTTGTAGTATTCTAAAAATGTGCAGAATACAACCCCGATGGTACAAAATGACCCTCGGGCGTACGGATAGGGTTAAACTTCAATTAATCTGACCGAGCGGGGGACAAAGGCGTTCTTAAGGGTCACGTGACGCAGAAAGTAACACTATGGTGACCTCTAGCCAGAAACCAGTGATTTGCAGTCCGTGTTATTTTGTTTTTAGTTTTATTTGTTCGCTTCTGAAAAAAATTGTTGTTTGTTTTTTTCTTTCTTTTTTTTTTTTTTTACCGCGTTAGAAATCCATAATTCAAATGGCGGTGATTTTTCCTTCTGTTGTCCACAGTGTTGGGGTCACTACAGTCGGAACATCTTCTACACTTTGATGATGTAGTTTTTTTGTGCTAATTTTGTTTTTTTTGTTCTAGATTTGTTTTCTTTTTTAAATATTTGTTTGTTAGTCGGTCTCCAGTTCTGGGAAGGACATTGTACCGAGCTTAGGTCGCTTCTGTATCGAAAGTAACGCTCAGTGGCAAGGAAAAAGATACTTGATGTTATACGGATAGAAAGTAGATGTTTTTACGTCTCCATCAACATAATTCAGATCATCAAGGAGGCGAGCATTCGACCTGCCTATCGCAGCCAATCTGGGGTGAGAAGGATACAACATCGCAGCAGAAAGAGCGAGGTATTCAAAAAAAAAATGTTCTCCCCATTCGAGAATCGAACTGGAGTCTCCTGCGAGTGACACTGAAGCTTCTTGCCGCAATAATTCGACAGACGCCGTCCGTTTGACAGAGATAAGATAACAGACACGATACTACTTTTTTTTTATCCAACAGGGAAATTTTTCTTGGCTGTACAGGACCGTAAAAACACATGCAGTTATGCTTAAAAAATTAAATTATAAAAATTCAATATGAAAAGAGGAGTAAAGCTGACAAAATGTACATTCACATCAGATGCACCATTCAACCACTTGCAGTAATTTAATTACAAGACCTTTGGAGTTATATATAGATACATACTCCAAACAGCAACACACATCTAGGCTCATTCTGACAAAAGCCTTATGCTAGATGGTAAAACACTTCTTTTATATCTTTCTTTCTTTGGTTTTGGAGGTACATATCTGCCGATGCGTGATCTAACAAATTGCGTTGAAAGGGGATGTGATGGGTTGTTTATAATGCTTTGTATCTTTTCTATACGTGTGATGTTATACATTTAATCAATTCTAGTAAAATCATATCCAGAGATCTTGCTGGCTTTCTTAACGGTTCTGTCGGCTGCTGATGTGCTACGAGGACAACAGACTTAGAATTTTCAAGTTTTGTAACTTATGTTATTTACTGGCTTTTCTTGACTCGAGTCATCAGCTCCGCTCCCTTTTATTACCGAAAGTGTTCATGTCATGTAGAAAAAGAAGGTAGATCTGAGCAATTTTATCCCTCTCATATTATAATTAATATAACTGTTGTTTGAGAGAACCAAACAAAAACAAGCTTCTGACGTGGAATAGTTAGGCACTTCGCTGCATAGATTTACACTACCAGGCTTAAAAAGGAGACAAATCTATGCTTCGCTATCACACACAGGAGAGATATGAGCTTGATTACCGAGTGGGAGTAATTTTTGATCGAGTATCTCGGTCTTTCTGCTGGGATGGTTGTATCCCTTTTATCCCCGGTTGGCGCAGACGGCAGACAGGCAGAGTCGGAGGCTCGCCTCGCCTCCTAAGGTAAAAGTTGTTCCCGCATCCGATCCAGACATTGGGAATTGCCTTGTTAGTGAGACAACTTCCTGGGTCTTGGGCATATTGTGGCAGGGTGGCCAGTTCCTTTCCACGCCGCCTTTACTTCCCCAACTCGAAGTCAGGTACCCATTACTGCTGGGTGGGCAGAAGGGGGTGAAAAAATCTGTGTCCAAACCGAGGCTCGAACCCGGACTTTCCACTTCGGAGACGAGCGCAGTAACCGCTCCGCCACCGCCTCCTAAATGATCTAAATTGGGTCAATGAGGACGTAAGAAACACCAAGACTTTTCAATTAAAAAATGTCGTTTGACTGAGAGGCGTCTGCTGTGTCGTTGCAACGATACCTGCCAGATTTCAAATTTTGAACATTAGGCTGTTTACTGGCCTTTCTTGACCCGAACCATCAACACCTTTCTGTTACTGACAGTATTCAAGTCACGAACAGACAGCTGGTGCCAGCCAAGTTGATCCGTTACATAAAATAATATGTATCACAACGCGGTGGAATCAGGCACTCGTCAACTTCACAGGTCGTCACATTTGTGAGATGTGCTGACAAATGAGTTTTCTTTCGGGTTTTAGTGGTATGAAAATTGATACATCAACTATTTAGATGCAGTTTATACAATTTGTAAGTATGGAATAATAGAAGACGCGTACGGTAGACTTGAACAAAATGGCATCAACTAAAAATCTTTAAATCTGACCCCAGCGTTGATTTTCGGCCGATATCTCCATTCTTGGATCGCGAGCAGTCACTCATATCGTCAGAACGCCTCACATTTTCAAAAAAATGTCTTCTTCCTGGCTCAACCATCCCTTTTTAAAAGGAGTTTGGAATGCTGAAAATGAAATTGAATTGTGAAACTTGATGTTTAGGTCTAGTTTTCAAGATACTCAAGTTTTCATATTTTACAAACAGTAAACAAGTCCTAAAATTGGGGTTACTTCACCCTTATTTGGTCGCTTTTAAGCACACGGGGGCTCTCCCGAAAATGCTGTTTTGAGAAAATCGAAGGCAAAGTTTTTGCCCCTTGTTCAGTTTCTTTAAAAGATAAGGGGAGTTTTCTCTACAACCAAACAAATATATACACTAATGAAACCAAACTTCTCCTATAGGACAAGCCGTGAGTTCGGGGGCTGCTCTGGTGGCCTAGAGGTCAAGGTGTTCGCCTCTTATTCAAAGGTTCCGGGTTCGAATGCATTAAAGATCCCCTGGTAGTCCCAAAATCGATACGAGTAGGCTTTGGCCGCCACCCGGACAAAATTCAAAATTAAATTCCTTCCAGCTGAAAATGTTTAATTTGTCCTGCGCGCTCATATGACATTGTGCTGTTGCCAATGCAGCAACACACTTACCAAAACATAATAATAATAATAAGAAAAAATAAAAGGCTTGAGTTCGATCCCCACGATAGGGTCTCTTTTTCTTCTGGGATACTGCACCCCATTCACTCCGATGTGGTCCTTGCATTCAGAGTCCAAGCAACCCGTCTCCAAAATGACACGAACTGTTGGTCGTTCACAGTCAGGTCTGTTGTCCTTAGATACTGGTGAAAATGGTGAAATGGTATAGGTTTAACGCCCCTATAAACACTGTTTGGATATTTAAGAGGCGGGGCCTCCTAGTTTAACGCCCATCTCCGAAGGGACCGAGCCAAGTGGGATATTCGTGTAAAGAAAGCGTCTTTCCCAGGGACACAACGTCGGACCGAAGTGACGCTCGAACCCCCAAACCCGCAATCTCACTGAGATACTGTTTAGGTGGAATCTTTTTTTTTTGTTCTTCAAAAAGAGAAAGAAGGAACAGCAGTGCGTTGAGAGAGAGAGAGAGAGAGAGAGAGAGAGAGAGAGAGAGAGAGAGAGAGAGAAAGAGAGAGAGAGAGAGAGAGAGAGAGAGAGAGAGAGAAAGAGAGAGAGAGAGAGAGAGAGAAAGAGAGAGAGAGAAAGAGAGAGAGATTGAGAGAGAAAGAGAGAGAGAGAGAAAGAGAGAGAGAGAGAGAGAGAGAGAGAGGAGAGAGAGAGATTGAGAGAGAAAGAGAGAGAGAAATAAATAAAGAAAAATAGAGAGACAAAGCGAAGGATAGTAAAAAGGACACACTAGGGAGATAAAAAGCGAAAATACGTTCTAAGATATCGGCCTGATGAGTAGAAATTGAACTGAAAGGGCCTGACAAGAGCTAAAAACGAAAATCTGACAGTTTGAGAGGAGTAGGAATCTCAATTTGAAATTCTCAAAAATCTCACCTTAATTTGAGAAGCTAAGCTATAATTTAAACCGAATCATACTTTTTTAAAAACTGAATAATGCAGTTGGTCTATTTGTAAAACCAAACAATGCATAATAATCGTGAGCGCTCTGGGTATTGATTCAGAGGTAAAGCTAAGCTAGGGATATCAATAAACTTAGGAAAGCTATGTTCAAAGTTACAGTTAAGAGTAGTCTATTTTTATTTGTAAATAGAACGACGTTCTCATCAAGTCTGGCCCGAATACTCCAGTGCCTTCAACGACTCGACTCTACTCTATACTCAGTGGAGTAGTAATATTATATTATTGGGCCACGTAGTGATGTTTTCAGGTTAATACGTTCCGGTCAACAGAAGAAATTCATTACTGACACCTTCTGGCTAATTAGCAATTGTTGGTTTGAATGACGTCCGTTTGTTTGTCCCATAAATGGTGATATGCTTGAGAACACAGGTTCATTTCAGGGTACACATGTCACTGTTCTAGATTAGCAGGGTTGTCGGGACTCCTCCAACCTCCCAGTTCAGAGCACAGGCCACAGGCAACAGGCAGCACAGCCACTCTCAGTCTCTGGGACGAGGAAGGACCGGCCAGGTTAACGGATACCTCACAACGCGGGAAGCTAAAAAAATACAACAGGGTAAGAACGTTGAAGATAACAGTGCACACAATCTCTATATATTTTATTGGTGAAAGTATGACACTTCGGCCGCCTAAAACTTCCGAACCACTGAACTTTCGAATTTGACAAAATGAATGGTGGTTCTGAATCATTTAAAGGGTGCACAGTTTCTTTGAGGAGCCTGAAGTCACTGTAGTTTAATTTTCAGTTTTTCATTAGTTTCGTTTACATCTGATCGTGGGAAAGTCTGTCTTCTAAGACGCCATTGTAATCAAATGAGGTTTCTGTTCACTAGCCGTGCGCACTCATGATTCCACACTTTTGAAATTCTGGAGTGTACAACCACGAAAGCGGAATAAAAAATCAATCAATACATATATGCATATATTTTGGGCAACTTGGAAACGCATGTGTTGCTTTTCTTTCAAGATTTATTGCTCCATTCCAGTAGAGTGTAAATGTAGTAGGCCAATGACTTTCAGTTGATGTTAATGCACCGACCATTCCTGTCATCGAAAGGGGGCCCAGTTAGTATTATTATAACTGAACACCGCGGGAAGCTAAAAAAAAAAAGCCCAACAGGGTAGGAGAGTTGAAGATAACAGTGCACATATTATACCTGGATAATGTAAGCGGGATTTCAAAAAAAGATATGTTAGCTTTCTAAAAATGTGACGCAATATTAGTCAGTTTTGGAATCGAAAGAGGTATTTTACAGGGTTCCATTGCAGAATGAACGTATTTTACTCCGGATATTGAAGCAAACAATGTAAAAATAACTGACTGGGACGTAAATGGGGTTCGGATTTAGGATTCAAGATTTAGGAAAGGTTAACTTTAAAAAATGTGATGTAATGTTAGTCAATTTTAGAATCTATATTATAGGTTAATATCAAATTTTACAGGGCTCCATTGCAGAACGCGCTTACTATACTCCGAATCAGGGCATTCCCAGAATACAACATCTACTCCATAATCCTATGTTACTTACTTATTAATTTGTTTATCTATTCATTGAATGCTGTTATTAAAATAAGGATTGTGGTCAGAATATTTTTTTGTCACCAAAATGCCGTACCTTTCGATATCTAGTATGATAAAACTACGTGTTGTTCATACTTTTGTTTTCAGAGAATACGTTTTAAAAGTAGTATTATTATTCTTAAGTTTGAAGTACATGTAAATGGTTAAAGTGAGTTTTAGGATGGAGCCCTTCATTTGTGCATTACAAATATTAGTTTGGATGTTAGTGAATGTTGTGAGGTCATGGTTAATATGTGTCACGACGCGGTGGAATCAGGCGCTCGTCAATATTTGGGCATGTGGAGTTATTGGTATCATCTGAAAGCTTGTTTATTAGTCTTGTTTCATGGAAAAAAATCCCTTTTATCTTTAGTAGAATTCAAGATGTTTGCGACTAAAGGAAATAAGGTCGCCTGGTTTCAGTGGTGAAATTAGTGAGAAAATGGCTGCCAAAGTTTGGTAACTCCAATAGCTAAAAAGTGCTTGAAAACAGAAACATGACATATTGTTCTGTGCCTTAAATCAATGTTTTTCAGTAACATTTACATGGAAAGGGGATTTTATATGAACATAAAAGAGGTTGAGCCCAAAAATACAATTCAATAAAAATTTCCTACCTCCCAGAAAAATGCCAGTTTCTCCGATTTTCGTATTTTGACGAGCGCCTGATTTTACCACACTGTCTCACATACTAAGCTGGTAAGTAAGAAACAGGTGTTAGGGTTTTGCGCCCTTTTTAACTCTGTTTGACTTTTTAAAAGTTTCGGGACCTTCGAACTCAACGTTTATTTCCCACCGGACAGAACTAAATGGTTTGAGAGAGTCTTGAAAACGCCACAAAATAACCCAAGTTCAAGAACCTCAAGTCCGAGACTTGAACCAGGGTCGCCTGCTTCATTGTTCAGCAAAATACCAAATGAGCTAACAAAGCAAAGGAGTTATTAACAACATTTTTAAAAATAGTTAAAATGAAACGAAACCAAAGAAAAAGTTGAATCTTCCTAATCTTGTCAGCTTTATTGGTTTAGTTTTAGTGAGTGTTTGACGGCACTTGCAACACAATAAGGTCATATAAGTGCCGAAGATTAGAGGTGTTACAAAAGAGTAACAAACACAAAAAAAGGAGGGGAGATAAAGACGATAGATGTTTGATAGGAAAGAAGAAGCAAACCACACCTGAGCACCCGGTCTGTTCAAAATCTTCTTCACATTTACATTTTGTTCACGCATGCAGGTCGTGTCATATCAACGGGTCGTGCAACAGAACAAACACCATCTCCCAACTGTGAATAATTGGAAAGTTTTCGGGGAATGGAAATTCACAACCAACTACATGTACTTGGAATCTTGCTATGGGCCTTTT